ACATGTGGCAATATCCCAAGGAGGAGAAAGAGCCTCACTCCTGCTGAGGTTCTGGAAACCAAAAGATGATGGCTGTGCTAAGGTGGTTTGCTAAGAGTTAAATACAATGTGCTAGGGTTGGCAGCAGAGAAATGATTGGCCTGGGAAAATCTTCTGTAGGGCTGCAGGGTCTGGTTGGAATGAAGAGCATCATCATGATGCTACCTGCAGTGCAGGGGCTCCAGGTGAGCCCAGTGTAATGGGGAAGCAGAGAGGGGTGACAGGATTTAGGAGCAGATTAATCTAGATCTTGGATGGAGGTGGTGGCAATTGAAAGGAAAAATTAAAAATAAAAAAAATAGTTGGCATGGACTGTTAGGCTAGGGACAGATGGCTGGTGCTCAGGGACTTGCAGGAGGTATGGAAGGAGGTGTATCCAAGCTGCTCCAGGAAAAAGTGTTGGACTAGTGCAAAATATTAGAGCCAATGGTGTGCAGCAGCAGTTGCTTAGTGTCATCCAGTGGGGTAGATTGATTTACATCTCTGCATTAGGTCACTGTTTTCAATTGTTATTTAAATGAGCAAGCATGAAATCTGATTTAAGTTGACTTATCAAATTTTACATGTGTACTTTGGTTACCTTTCTAAAAGCCTTAGTGTGTATTCTGTACCACCACAGCTACTCTTAGCTAACAGAGTGAATATGTCTTTGTATTTATACAAATATGCAGTTTGCCATTTGCTTTGCTTAGTGTATTTTTTTTCCATTTTCTGTTAAAAAATGATGAGTGGTGCTTTTCTTATTTGCTTGATTAATTTTTAACTTCTGATTTTCATCAGGCAACACTTGGATGGAAATTGGAATCTAATCAATGAACAAAACCAGCATTTAAAATTGTTTTCATTAGTTAAGTATTCTGGATATAGACAAAAATTCCTTATCAAGCCTGTTTTGTGACTGAAGCAGACTGATTTTTGTAGAAACAAAGCAAGTATTATTAGCTGTTTATGAACTGAATTAATTGTTTCTTGTCTCCATGCTCTCGAAGAATCTGTTTCTTATATCTAAAAAAATCTCTGTTTCTGGAACTCTTCTTGGAATTAAAAATCCCGAAACAAACCCACAAAAAACCAACCTACCCCAAAACAACATAGATTTTCCATCTGTGTGAACACTGCAGTGTCATCTGTGTGCCACAGCTACACGAGACAAACTTTTCTGGTTAGGTTGGACTACTCATGAGTTCGTATCACAAATATTGCTGAGGCAGAAGAGGTGATCTGTGCATCACAGATACTGGATGTGGTTACTTGCAAATTAGGGTGGATGTATGGACTATATTTGGTGAAGCTAAGTTACTACTTTTAGAAGGTTTTCTTTCCACATTTCTGTCAGTTCCCAGGGTTGGGCTGGCTTTGAATAAAATATTTTCTTATGTGTGGGGGGAAAATAAAGTGAATGGAGAAGAGGAGAAAATTGTACAGGAGACCTTACTGTTGTTAAAAATACATACACATGTATATTTTAGTTTATAAATTTTAAGTATATGTTTAAACAAGCTTGGCTTTGTTAAGGCAGTGAACATTGAAGCTCAAATTTCACAGAGTGGGAAATCAGTTCCCTAAATTTAGTGCTTCTAACATATGTTTAAGATCTAGGAATCTATTTCTGATATAACTCATGCTAGGAGTTCCTGGAAAGCTCTTTGACTTATGTGGCATGGCATGGGTAAGATTAAATTATAGCTGATTTTCTTCCATTCTAAGATCCCCAGAAGCATCTGTAAGATTGATGGGCGGTACAGTCATTGCATTATATTTGGATGTGTTTCTTTTGCAGGATAGTCTTCCAGTAAATACAAAAGAATTTAAAAATTATTGTGGGTAAGGAGGTGGATGGAAAATAATTTGAACTTGGTGTTATGATGCTCTAGCTTTAGCTAGACTTGGTTTCTGCCAGAAGAAAAAAGAAAGATATACAGTGGGTTTTTTCTAGTGGTTAAAAATCAGTGTGGGTAAAGAAATGGATATGATTTGTCTAAATCCGGTATCATGTTATACTGGAGATGAATTTGGTTATACATGTGTGCCAATGTGCTTCTCCAGACAAGAATTTGAAAATGAGTATATGAACATTTCAGTATCACCACATTCTCTGCTGTTCTTTAGTAAACATATATCACTATTACACCAAAATACAAGTTTAATGTTAAAGATCCTCAGTCACATAAAAATAACAAAATCCTTTAGGAAAAAGAGAAGTTGAAATGTATCAACAAGTCAAAAGGAGGGATGGGGGAAGAATGCTACAGTGAGCTGATTGTACACTTAGAAAGGCACATGTGCATCTTCTGTCTTTCATTGCCTTTGCCCATGTTTCATGTTTAAGGGTGAGGCAGCAGAAAAGAATTTCAGTGATAAGTTGAATCTAGTAAAGAACATGCCCTGAAATTAAGTTTTGGGAAGAAGAGGGGGAAACTGTGCTGCAGACAGATGGGCAACAGAGGGAAGGAAGGAAATATATGCAAACAAAAATAATGAAGTTTGATTTGTTTCCATGGTACAGAAATGTGTCTGGAGGTGGGTTTAGGTAGAAACTGCTTAAATTCTTGAAACCCAAGTCAAGTTACACATTTGATTTGCAGCACTGTTGTGCAAACTAGCTGGAAGGTCTGTGTGTGTTAGCTCAAAGTTTAGCTGGAAGAGGGTGGCTGGAGTTGCATGTGGAAGGGAGAACTTCAGCAGTGGACTTTTGCAGGAGCTGAAGCATGTGTGGACAACTGAAGGTAGGGCACAAGGAGATGAGTGAGGAAGTGAGGTGGCTAAGCTGTCTGGATTGGAATGAGGGGTTGCTTCTACACCCGGTGCAGTTAGTATAGGTCCTTGCAACAAAACTGGGAAAAAACCCAAATGCCTCATGAACTTGTAACCATTTAGAAAGAGTTCTCTGAAGTGGTAAGATTGAGCAAGTACCTACAGTAGCATTTCCAAATTACTGGAAATCTTGTTGGACTCCCAGTGAACATGTAAAAGGACTTACTATGAAAACACTCAGGATGTTTGTAATAGGAGGAGAAAATGAGTAATCTTCTGGAAAGTCTTTTTAACATATATACTGAAGTGACTGATATCTTTCACTACAAATACGTAGTTTTAGGGTGTAGTTTTGAGATCATTTTAAACTGATCTGTAGGCAGATTAGAAGGGGTGCTCCCACCTTTTCCCATTCCCTGACCTAATTGTTGTTTCTTCCTCCCTTGATCCTGACTGCTGCTTGTGTGGCTCTCTGGTTATTCAGGTCAGGAACACACTGCCCGTCTTAAAAATCGTCTGAATGTGCAATCCTGCTGGCCACAAAACACACAGGGCAGTGGGGAGGATGGGTGTGGAGGGCTGCATCCAGGGAAAACAGGGACTTAAACCAGCATGAAATGACTGTGAATCCTAATACCTTGTAAATGTGAAAACACAGGGTAAATTGTGCAACTGTTGTAATCACCTGAAGCGACTGGCAGAATGTGTTTCTATTTTCAATATCCTATTTTGGGGTTTCTTCACCTGGTACATGGAGCTGTGCCTGGAATTTGTTTCCCCTGAGGTTACAGTTGACTTGTATTTACCAAAAATGAAGTGGTAGAACTTGGAAACAAGCATTTTGTTCTGATTAGTTTATGGTTAATGCAGTGGGGCTTCACTTCCAGTTACTGAAAGAAGTTACTGAAACTTTAAGTGGGAGATAGTGTTCTTAGGATTGCAGCTGCTTTTTGCTTTGTGTTGGATATAGTGGGTTTTTTTCCAAAAATGTCATGGAAAAAGCTGCTTTGGTGAGCTTCTGTACCTGGGTCTGTATCCCTACCCAAATATACAAGCGAGCAAAGCTAGATGAGTGTGGTTGGTCCCATGTGCACTGTTTGCTGGTGCTTGGTGCTGGTCTGCGCTGGGGCACTGAGAAAGCAAGGATGAGAACGTCTGTGTTGTCTTAAAAGACCTTGGCACAAAAAGGGCTTGTTGGCTTTTGTCTTGTTGAGGATGAGCAAAACAGATTTTGAAAATACAGAAGAGGGCTACACAGAGGAAGAAATGCTTTAAAAGAGGAGATGTAATGTCTTAAATACCTCCTAGTTCAAAGAAAGGTTTGTGTGAAATGATTTTGAGAGGTAACCCTGAGATAAGTAGATGGATTAGTGGTAGCATAGTCCATACTTGTTAATCTGAGACAGGCTCTTCTGGGGCTGCTAAAATAGTTATGATTTACTGTGGCATATGTAACCCTGCTGCTTGATCATGGCTATGCAGCCTGTAGAGAGGATCTCGAGTATTATGTTGTGCTTTCCAGCTGGGATGTCTGCTTGAAAGCAATAGGAAGATGCAGTGATGCCTGATACCCAGTGGGTGCAGTGGTAGGGTCCTCTTGCTTTGAAGAATTCCTAATGTGGTGTTTAATTTACTAGCCTGCGTGAGGACTGCTGCCAAGGCTCCAACTGTTGCATAATGTTACACAGGAGGAATCACTGGCAGATTTCAAGCTGGCTATCATTCCAGATCACTCCCACACAAAGGAAATTGTAGCATATATGTAACTCTGAGGCTTTTGGTGGCACTCAACACAATCTAAAATTAAAAATGTAACTAGGAAAACTATAAAGCTTGCCTAGTCAGTCTGTAGCCCCTCTGCTTGTAGTAGCCTCACCTGCAGAGTCTTGCATGTGGAAGAGAATTCAGACAGCAACAGGTAAGAGCGAAAGCCTTGCAAACACCTCAATTGTTTTTTAAAGCTCTAAGCATTAAAATTACGAGTATTTTATACAAGATGAAAGAATCCTCTTTTGGCTCAAACTGTATATCATGTTCTGTGAATTCTGTGATTCCCAGAAAAAGCCAGACCCTTAATATTCAGACATCACAGGGGGAAATAAGATTTCCCCCTCATTTCCATGCATGCCTGTTCCATACCCGTTTTCTTGTCAGTCTGATTCATAATGTTCAAAAACATTCACTGCATTTTTCCTTCTTCCCCACAGCAACAGCCTGAGTCTGAGACTGTTCATCTGTTCATCCCAGCCTTGGCAGTTGGAGCTATTATTGGCAAGCAGGGACAGCACATCAAACAACTTTCTCGTTTTGCAGGCGCATCTATTAAGGTATTATTACACTGACTATAACTTTGTCTATTCTACATGACACTTCTAGCAAGTTTGCACAAGCCGTGCTTTCGTGAACATCCTCCCCAACTCCGTGCTTAGAATGTGATGTGATAAATGGTACATTTGTTTATAAATCATCTTTTAATCTTCCTTAAGACAAGATAATTAGAAGCATGTTTTCAAACGTCTCCTGAGGTGTGAAATATAAGTGCAAAGAAAACTACTTTGGTGGTCTTGATTTCTTAGAAACAGACTTGCGTCTTAATGATGCAGTGCTTAAAGGCTTTCTTCTTTCGGTACAGTGAAAATTGGTGAGGTAAATTCCCCTTCTAAAAACAGCAGCACAGGTGAAGTTTCCTACTGCTCTGCCTGCTCTGTTTCAGATGGATCAGTCTGGGCTGTCAAGCTCAGATGGCTCCACGCTGAAGCGTTCATGTTTTAGCATCATCCATGTGCTCCAAGCTCCTGGGGTCAGTCAGTTCTTTAACATCATATTTACCTTGTTACCCAGGTTTAACATCCAGCTGTTTGTGTATTGACATTTCATGTAAAAGATGGTTTGCAGAGGTTGACCTCTTGGTGAAATCCATCTTGAGTGTTGTTAGGGGTTGGTACCAGTCGCAGTTGTAGGAAGGCCTTGGCTTTCTGCTACTGATGCCATTGTAACCACATGTATCCTCTCTAAACACCTGAGCATTTTTTTCTTTTAATTAGGCTATTCTGCTATTCTGTGCTGTAAAAATAATGTTTTGGCCTAAATTAAAAAAAAAAATAAATAAAAGTACAGTGTTTAGCTATATGTGCTGTTAGATTGACGTTTTCCTGCACAGGTAAAGCAAAGATTTTCTTCTCAGCTCTTTGTTTTTGCTCAGGAGATGTGGCCTGTGTAGCAAGTGCTATGGCAGGGAGCTGCCAGAAGTCCAGGGGCAGAGGAGCACGAGTTGAGTTGAGCTTGGTGAAGCCAGTGAGGCGGGCTTGGCTTGGAAGGTGTTCATCTAAGTGTGCAGAGCGAAGTAATTGGGGGATCCTGATGAATGAGTCTTGTGTGTGGTTTGCTGAATGCCGATCAGTCGACCAACTGATACGCTGCCCAGTTCCATCCTTTTTTTGAGCAGTGTATTAAATAGTTGTTATACTACCCAGATGGTTTATGTTACTTGAGCACTAATAATCATATTTTTAGGAGGAAAATGGAATAGAAGACGGTGAGATGTGCGGATTTTTCTTTATCAAATCTGTCTTGCATGGAGGTATAATATATCACATGGATTTCCTCTTTCCCTCTCCATTGTATCTAAAGCTTAAGCAGTGTATGGAAGGTACTGCTAGGTGGAGAGAGAAATGTGAAACAACGTGGACCTCCAAGAACCCGTCCAAACTAGTTCTTCAGTTGGTCCTTGAAAGACAATTTAGTGGAAAGGGAGTTTCCAATGTTTCTCATGCACCTGGCTAACAGTGGCCTCAGGCTTCCTCTACTGGCTGGCACCTCTCTACCCAATGCATTTAACAGTTCTGTATTAATTGAAATTCAGTTAAAAGTTTTCTGAAGTTCTGGTCTTTTGTTCCTTTAGTAGCGATAAAATAAAGAAATTTTTGTGAAAATGGGATTAAGTCTTAGCAAAACTATACAGATACAGGATATGCTTGCTAAATTGGGAAGTTGCATGTGTGCTTATCAATTAAAATAAAAACATAACTTCATCTGTAATCTGGCAGAACAATATGGAGCACTATGCTTGCTTCTATGTGAAAGTATTAAATATGACAGTTGGTAAATTATTCAAAGCTCCTGAACTTCCCTCGTGTTGACCACCTGCCCTTTGTCATAACTTTGGAGCAAAATAATACATTGTGAATCAAGGAATCTGTGCTTTTAGCTAAGAGTTGGAGGGAGTGCTGCCTGAGTAACTTTTAACTTGCCAAGCTGCAGTAATCATACTCTGTGGAGGAAGTATGTCTCTGTGCATAACACTTGTTTTGAGTTGTGCTGTAGCTTGTTACAGCTGAAAATGTTTTACATCCCTATACATCTTCATTGTGCTCATGCTGAGCTTTGTAGATCTGATGCAATTCTTTAGCTACGAAGTAAGACTAAAACTGCAGGTGCCCAGGGGTTCTGTACAGGGCCGCAGTGTTCAGGCTGTCAATTCAGAGGTGCATGTGGCTGTTGATGAGCTCAGGTTGTGTCTTTGTGCTGGTGGTCATTGCTTGGCAATGCAGGCTCAGTGAGGGACTCCATCAGACTCAATTGTTCAGTAAAAGAGCCAGGCAGAGACTTCTGGGCTGTTGTCTGCCCATCCTGTACTACAGCTGGGAACCCACTGTCATCTCCCCAGTTATAAATTCTATCCAGAGTAGCCTTTTGTGATGGAAGGATGACCCTTACAGGTTTTGGGAGTATGAAGTTGTCAGCTTGTGGCTTGGCATATGGAAGATCGGTTGTTTTCTGGTTAGGAATGTAAAATTATTTAATTTCCAAAGTTAAATTCACCACTTCTATACTATTTGTATGTATATAACTACTTCTTCCAAGACCAGATGACAAAATTAACACAGAAGACTCTTAGGTTACCCCTTCAGAAACTGAAATGTTAGTTGATATGTGTTTCTTTCACAGCCCTCAGCCATGTTTTACCCCAGCTTCTGAGAACAGGACATTCTAAGATAAAAGCAAAGCAGGATATGTCCCAGAACATTTGAACACATGTAAAATATAATGAAGGCTTGATGGAAAATATTTTTCTTCAAATTTCAGTAAAGGTGCTGGTGCTCACTAAGAAAAACATGATGTGACTGAAAGAAAAACTACAGTGTCCACTTTTCATAAATGACAATTCAGGCTGAGCTCTGTTCAGTCAGTTGCCTCTAAATGTGCCTTGAAATTTTGGCCCTTTAAAATACTTGTGTTCCAAAGAATGAATGGATTTAGTCTGTGCTTGCTCTTACCACAACGTCATGTCATAAAAATGTACTGCTGTAAAATTAGTGTATTTTTAGATATATCCAATTGGAATGCAGAAATTATGAAAAATAGATATGCAAACCATATTTAATGTAATGATATAATGCCTTCTCCATCTTAGGGTACAATATGAATAATTTTATAAACTTTCCTTAGCAAAATTCTTTAGTGAAAATGATGCATGGCGACTGGTAATTTGTCTGAAATAAACTACAGCTGTTAAATATGAATAACATCCCTATGCCAACAGCTGAGATGAAATTCTGTAGTGTTTAATATATTGCTCATTCAATAAACAGCTATGTAATACTAGATGCAACAATGGAAATGTCAGTTGTGATAAACAAAAGATTCATTTGGAATGTCAGAGGCTAGTTTGAATTATTTAATGCCACTGGAGTCTGAGAACAACACCCACAGAAATTTTACTGTTGTGGTGACATGAACTGCTAAAGACCCTACAGGCATCTCTGTCTCAGCTCTGGTGGAGCTTAATTTTTATTTGGGTCACACATGTCTGTAGATACAAACCTCTTGGAAACTGTGAACTCATTGTCCAGTATAGAGGAATGTTTTGGATCCGATTAGTTACAACAGTAAAGTGATCTTCTGTTCTCAGGGTGATGAATGCAACATTTTGCTAATGAGCAAAACTCATTCAAGCTAATGAGTAGGGATGAGAATCTCAGTTTATTAACCATGTTTATCTTTTTGAAGGCTACATGTCTTATATCACTCACAGCCACATGAAAATGGCATGTGGGATTCTGCCATATGTGGATGAATAGCTATGTCTTTAATTTTCAGAAGTAAATTTGCTTATGGTTTACCCAGTTTCTCCATATTACATTATGGCTCATTAATGCACTTTAAAGAGAATAAACCCGTCATGACTGAAGTGTGATGCTGCTGCTGTAACGAATAATTTTTCACTCTTGAACAGAATGTGAGACCGAAATGGGGAGGAGGTGGCTTTAAACTATTCCTTCAAAAGACAGCTACCAAAAGCTATGTTTATCCATTCCAGATTGCCCCTGCTGAAGGACCAGATGCTAAGCTGAGAATGGTTATCATCACTGGACCTCCAGAAGCTCAGTTCAAGGTACAACATATAAAAACTTGTTAATCTGTAGTGGCCTTTGGACCATGAGGTACGATATTGAAAATAAAACACTTGGTTCCAAGCGTGCTTTATTCTGAATTTTAGTAAACACTGGGGTTTTGCTTTCGTTTTGCTGAAAAGTGTCTCATAAGAATATGAGTAATACAGTACTATAAGAAGCCACATTCTGATCATCTGAAAACTGGGAGTTTCATGTAAGTAGGAATCGAGTCTAGCAAAAAATATGGCCATATTACATTCCTAATTTTTCCTTTTATCTGCAAGCACCATTTAGTTCAGTCTTTCCATTTTGCCTTAATATGTGCAACAGTTTCATGTGCTTAATTGAAATAATAAAGCTGACAAGATGAGAGATTGAGTCTTCCCAGGTTGCTGTTGTATGCCGAATGGAAAATGCTTTTTGGATAGCTCTGTGGATAAATGCAAGATTTCTAACTGTATTTCCACTACACCTACAGGTTGATAGTCAACCTGATTATCTCATTTTTGTTTCAATTGAGTTCTGGAGTAGCCTTCTTACCCCAAAAGAAGTTGACCAGGCTAGGAGTGATGCAAACAGCTCAGTGAAGCAGCCTGACCTCATCACAGATAAGGCCCAGAGAATACAGAAAGTCACTGAGAGTTTATGTCCAGGCGTTGTTCTCTTGCATCTTCTTATTTTTGACTTCGTAATTTTGCAAGAAAGAGGTGCACAAACTTCAGAAGTATCTAGAATCAATTTCGTTAATGCCTTTAGGATTTTTGGAAAACTATCAGGGCAGGTAACTTTGAAGGTCTGCCTCCATGATGTTTTTTGTGTGCATGTGGGCTTGGCCACGTGGCATATTTTACATATGGGGTACTCTTGTGATCTGGGATCAGCACTAGGTCAGATACTGGCTACCCTTTCGTTTCATCAGATAGCAGTGGACTTACCCTCTGGGAGTAGCATGCTGAAGGACATCCTTTAACTTGACTTTTTATGTAGGCAAAGGCTTGTCTTCAGGCTTCCTCACTAATTGGAGTTCTTCTGGCAGCTCTTCTCTCCAACCTGGATCATGCAAGGAGAAAAGTCTCCCTTTTCTGCACCCCATACGTAAGACTAAAATGACATCAATCAATCAATCACTTCTCTACACCTGGGCTTTTGTTTGCAAAGGTGGATCAATGTACTAGCACAGTCAATGCTCCTGAGTATGCTGGTCTTGTGAAGGAGAGGGATTATCTCTTGGGGCTTCCTTCAGCTCTAGCCCTTGTAAGTCTTTTAACTACTCTTTGAGCAATGCCCCCTTGACTAAGATGGGCAGAGGCAGAGCTCAGTCCTTCCTTTTATTGCCACTGCTAACCTAAAGCATGCCTTATGGTCAGGACCAAGCCTCATTAGTGCTCTCCTTAAGCTCTGTTTAAGAAGGGTGTTCTTTCTCTTTGAGGGTAGGCTATTGTTTTTTGGGCACCAAGAATGTAAACTGGTGCTCAACAACTTGAAGAGGGAATAGCTGCTGCTCAGGTGAGTAACCAGCTCTTGGAGAGTCAGCGTCATCCTAGAGGCTGAGTTTGGCTTCCTTTCCTTAGTACATTGTGCTCTGCTGTCTTATTTGTGTCTGTGGTGGCCACAACAGCTGTGCCCCTTCTTCCTCAGCTGCAGTAGCCTGAGGATGTTGCAGTATGCAGGGCTAGTTATTATCAAGGCAATGGGAAGAGAATATGCCACTGTTTACAGCCTCTGGTGCAGTGCTCCCTAGAGATTAGGCATATCCATTACACCAATATTCAGGGAGCAGTGCATTGCCTTGGATTAGGGATGTGCAAGTGAAGTGGAATCTTGTGTAGACAGCGTACTTCAGCTGCCATTTTGCTGTGAAGCAGCTGCAGCCTGAAAGACTTTTCAAGAGCTGAAAGATTTGGGATGTTGGAAGAACATCTACAGCCCTTTAAAAGTCCACATCCCACCTTGATTTATAATTCAGTAATGTGTGTTCTTTTGAAGCACAGAAGAAGATCTGGTTACCATTTCTCAAGAACTTACTCATGAATGGCAGGGAATAAGGAAATAAATATATTTAAAAATCAGCAAGATTTACAAGCTTAGTCTTGATGGACATTCTTCTTGTTACCTGGCACTTCTGTGTTTCTGAGAAAAAGGAACTATGTACTGGTTGGAGTAATACTGTTCCTGTGGTACTATTTAGATCTAGGCAGATAGATTTTTCACTTTAGACAATTGAGCAAGTTCAGGTTTATTTATTTTTAAACAATATGTTGTAATGGATTGTAAAAGCAAGCTGTTTGTGCTAATTGGAGTCTTTATCCCATGACTTGTTGGGGGTGTTGTGGCTTTTTTTGTTTAGCATCCTTAAAAGAATGGGTTACTGAGTCAATTAATTGCATTCTGTGCTTCTGGGTGCAATAAAAAAGCTTCAGCTAGACAGTTGCTCTCTCTACCGCTCTTTACCTCTACAGAAATGCAATAGTTTCTTTTAAAAGCAATATTTCTACTGAATAGCAGAATAATGGTTCCTTTTAAAATGTTGTTTGATTCCCTGGTTTGTCATGCAGTCTTTAAAGCTGGACAGTGGTGCTTCCTAGTTTGGTACAATAACTTCTTTTAGAAAAATAATGTATTTATTAGGGAAAACACTGTGTCAGGATTGCATACTGAGAACCTTTCTGTGGAATTTCTTGACGTTAACTAGATCCCAATAAGCACATTTTCTAACTGAAAGCGTTTTTGCAGGCTCAAGGGAGAATCTATGGAAAACTTAAAGAAGAAAATTTCTTTGGACCTAAAGAAGAAGTGAAACTTGAGGCTCATATAAAAGTGCCATCCTATGCTGCTGGTAGAGTTATTGGTAAAGGAGGCAAAACAGTAAGTAGCTGAAATAAAACTTTTAATATTGCTCAGTTACATTTCTTACTTCAGTGTACACATACACATATATATATACACATAAGGCTTAAACTTTTAGCTAATCCTTTGACGTTACATTAAAGCAGGAGCTATTTCCTTAGCTGTACTTGTTAGGCTTTCCTTTCTTCTAGTGTAGATTCAAAAGAAGCCAATCTCAGAATGATTTCTTTTATCTAAAAAAAAGGCAGGGAAAAAAAGAAATAAATAGTCTAACTAAAATCGATAGCCCCAGTCAGATCTGCAGGGCTTTTATTAGTAGAAATGTAGTTCTTCCATTTAGAATGAATACATTCCCATTCAAGATCTGCTTTTGTGAACCTTGGCTTATGTGCCAGATTTTGCTGTCCAAAACTGAGTGAAAACATAACTTCTAAACAAGTGGTAGGAAATTAAGACATGTTCAGACCTCAGTAGTACAAAAAACCCTGTGTCTACTTTTGTTTCAGTTTAATTGATGGCATTTCTTAGGCTTAGTTTATTGTATAAAATAACGTCACTGAAATTTTTCACTCATGAAAAGATGCTGGTGCTCTAGTATTTTCATATGGTTATTAGTCAGGAGCTAGATGATATTTGCAAAGAAATGGTTCAGTCTTGTGTGTCCATCCTTGAGTACAATGAGGTCTTTAAGTTCAGTGTCAGAAGACAATGTGGCCACTTCCATTACTTGCAGTGGTAAGAGGTTTAAGGACAAACACGTCTGAGAAGCTGTTCATCTAAAACCTTTTTAATAAAATAATGCTGTGCATTTCTAAAATAAAATGAGTGTAAATGGGACAAAGGCTTTAACCTTACCTGTACTTAACACTATAGAAACCAATAAGCTACTGAAAATAATTTGAACAAATAGAACTTCTCATTGTTCTGTTTGAAGTTCTCCATCTTGTGGAGGTTTTTCGAGGCAAAGCATATAAATACTTTGGCATTTTTCTTCTTGCTACATTATATGAGTTTTCTGACCTTACACTTTTAAACTCAACTGTAAAACACTGTGGCATCTATTTGCTTTTTTAAAGTCATGTATTTAACACCTTCTGTGTGTTGTATTTAGTCTTTAAAACACTTCTACAAATCCAGAGAACTTGGTGCTAATTTATGTTAAGAGACACAAGAGGCTCATCTTGCAGAATGCACACTGCTGCATAAAGATGCTTTGTGTTAGTGAGGGGTGTTTTTTAAGTGTAACTTAAGAGAAAGATGTTTCTGTGGGCAGTATCTTTGAGGCTTGATTGTTGTGGAATATTTGTTAGTTTAAGACTTTCTGACTTCTGGTCTCTATTTATAGGTAAATGAGCTTCAAAACTTGACAAGTGCAGAAGTTGTAGTCCCTCGTGACCAGACACCTGATGAAAATGATCAGGTGGTTGTGAAAATAACTGGTCACTTCTATGCATGCCAGGTAGGAGGACTGAAATGATCTTCTGTATTAGCTTGGTGTTTCCATGTTCTTTCTTTTATAAGCATGTGGTGGAAGATTTTTACTTGGGATACAGAAAGCACTGCTTGCCAGGCTCCTCTGCTTGTCTTGCTGCAATAAACTTTACTCGTGCCTTTGAGAGATTTATAATAATAAATCTGCGTGGTTACATATGTAAAACAATCTCTTTAAATTCTTCTGTCAATATATGTTGGCTCTGGCACTGCTAAAACTTTCAAAGCAAAAGAAAACCCAAGTTGTGATTGGACTGAAATTCAGAAGGAATTAAGACACAGGTGATATCATGGTATTTGGCAAGAACTGCCCCCAGATATGCAATTTGTCTACATTGCCCAATCTGTTGATTTAATATCATAAAGAAAAGGATCACAAGATTCCTTCCCTCACTTGAGTCTTAACTCAGACCAATTGCTTTTGATATTTTGCTACAGGTGACTTGTATTTCAGAAAGGAGATGGGTTGGGAGGGGGCTGGGAAATTATGTAAGTCTGACCTTCTGGATTCCCTGGTGTATAAAAAATTTGTACACTATTAAAACAGTTGTTCTTATAAAACATTAGTATCTCCAGAGGAGTAAAATGAAGGTAGCCTGTAGATTTAGCCTTAACATGGGTAGTCATCTTCCTATGCTCATGCTTTCTATATTACAGATGTGAAAATTGACCATGGCAGGTAGTTGTGGTAGGTGGAAAAAGAAGAATTAAATTTTAAGTTGTACATCAGGATAACCCAAGTGTATTTTAACTAACAAGTAATCATTGGTCATTCCATATTTTCTTAATGCCAGTAGCATCTATTGTTGGTTGTAAACAGCAGTCACTGCAGCATGGCATCATGATGGGCTGTTTTTTCTTCTTTGTGTCCTTCAGCTTGCTCAGAGAAAAATTCAGGAAATACTGGCTCAGGTAAGAAGGCAGCAGCAACAGCAAAAAACATTGCAAAGCGGACAGCCTCAGCCAAGACGAAAATAAAGGTTTAGGAAATGGCCCATCAGAGACAGATGCCAGACCAAAGACAGACTGTGCGACAGAGAGACGGGTGGTGAGCACCTGTTGAAGTTATGCAGAAGATCCACCAAGCCAATCACCTGTTCGAGGACCAGGCAACCGTTGAACGCTGTCTCTGAGAATGTATTCTTTAGGCTCTCTCAAACTTTTGAAACCCAGCTTTAAAATAAGGACCCCTTCACTTCCCTTTTGTTCTATTCTCACAATTTAACATAAACTCGTTAGTCTTTTTTATTGTTCTTATTATTCCCCAACAATTTTAGAACTTGGTTTAATGAAGCTTTCTCTTCTGAGTTCACTGGTTAAAAAAAAAAGAAAAGAAAAAACCAACAAAAAAAAAAGAAAAGGCATTGCTCTTATAGGTCCAGTTGTAAAAGAAGAAACACATTTGGAGGGTGGGATTGTGGGTGGGCTTGGGTTAGAGCAAGGGTATTGACAAGAGTTTAAGTGTTAGTCCCAATGTTGAAACAAGTGGCATTTTTTAAAAATAATTTGGTTGCATTTTTACATAACACTGCCATGAATAACCTAAGGGAAGTGTTGAATGGTGTTGGCCAGGGCATAAAAAGATAAATATGCATTTTACTAAACTACCTCAGGCATTTAGTACCTCAATGAGAAATTGTTCCTTTTTTGCTTTTTTTTTTTTGGTATTTTGTATACTTTATAAAGCTAATAGTTCTTGAGCATTTTATTTTTTTAAAAAAAATTAAAATTTGATCAGCCACCAGCCAGGAGTACTACAGACTTATCGGGGAAAAATATAGTAGAGCACTTCTAGCTGCTGGCTGATGGGAGTAAGGTGGGTAAAAAAAACACAGCCTCAGATTTCCTGAGGGCTTCAACACCATCATTTGTTTAAAAAAAAAAATTCAGTGAATGTTCAAAAGATAGTGAATGATGCCAACATTCTGATAGCAGCAATGCCGTTTAGTTTTCTTTTAAGATGGGATGAAAAAGTTTGTGACGGTACTTTTTTGGGAACAGGACAAGGAAGTGATGGCAAGAGGCTGGGGTTGGGGGAAAAATTTAGAAGGCTGCAAGAGGCTGAATTTTTTTTTTGTGCTACTTGATTGAATGCATGAACCCTTTGTGCCTTTGACCATCACTACCTAATAATGCTACATTTAACCATTTGCAGCCCATTTGGACTTTGCCATTTTGTTCAAAGAGCAAGCTTCATCTTCAGTTTGATAGAACACTTGATCTGCTAGAGCATATTTGAGGCCAGGATGGTCTCTGCTGTCTGCAGATCACATCATACTGCTTTCAGTTACCACGATGGGGGAAGGTCAAACAGTGTTTGATCACATTGAAAGATAATGAAAGGCTAAGTTTACATATCCAGCCGCTGTTATGGGCCACACTAAGCCACTTTGAAGGTTTTAAAAATGATTACAAGAAAACAAAACAACAACCTCTCTAGCCTGGCTTATAATAGATGCAGCAGGATTTATGCACGTTCTGCAACCAACCATTAGAGAAGAACAAAAAATGTCAAAAGGCAGGGATAACAGGAAAGTTACCAAATTTTATAATTTCCAAATGTAATTTGAATGATGATTGTGGTAATAGTGACACATTCAAGTTTCTACAATAAACTTCAGTCTACCTCAGTTTAAGAAAAAAAAAATGTGGCAACACATGGTGCATAAAGACTGCTGTGTGTGTGTGTGTGCGCGTGCGCGCCTGTGTGTGTGTGGTCGACAGAGCCATGCTATTACCTCTGAACCTTTTTTGTGATGTTTTTTTGTGCATGAGATGATCAGAATCACCATGCTGCACTGATTTGAGGGGCACAGCGAGCAAAAAACATTTGTTTCATCATTTTGTTATCTACCTCTTAGGTTCATGTTGAGATAGAGGCATTACTACATAGACTAGATAATTTTCCCAAAGATCATTGTTGTACAGATTAGGTAATTTTGAAAATGGTCTGAAGTGTTTTTCCTGCATCTCTTCTTTACTAATTGGTTTAAAAACCACAAACTTATGTTGTAGTTTTAGCAAAGAAAAATGAGTTTCTTTTCCTTTTTTGACAGTGACCTTCATCTAGCCTTTAGGATATTTTTTTTTCTTACAATGAATTTAAAATTACTGAAGTATGAAAAGTACATAGCATTTTAAATTTTGTTGAGGCTTAAGTCAGTCTGATGTTCCTTTCTTAACATTTGAGAAGGATTTGACTTCATTATTTTCCATAAAAAATTACTTTACAGATAGGCGCTGCATTTACATCTGCTGATTTAAATACTGTCATCTCTCTTAAATTTCTAGACTTAATATGGTAATTCATGTTTTTCTTTTCAATTGAGACTTGGTAATTTGGAGTATTTGGGAATAGCTAGAAAGTAAATGCTGTAAATGATTTCAATATCCACAAAGTATGGATCATTTTTCATCTGTAATGTGCCCCCCAATGCAGCTCTACTTGCCAGATGCCTCTGAATGGAATAAAGAGTTTAACTCCTATCATCAGATAAAGTTGTGTGGTGTTTTTTTAAATTAATGAGGCATAGGGACAGACTGTTCTAAATATTTACGGTGCTTTGATCAAGTTGTTTTCTGTCCACAATAACAACTGGATAAGGATGAATTGTCACCTACAGGTATTCCATAGCTGCTAGGACAACCACGTTACAATGTCTGCACTTCCCAACATAAGCAGTGACTTCTGTGGCTTATAATTCATCTTCTCCCTCCCATCTAACAATGCCATACAGTCTGTAGTAGAACCTATAGTTCAGGGTTTGTCTTGCACAGCTCTCTTAGGTTGATCTGCTGTGGAACAGATGTGAACTCAACAGTCCTGTCCCAGGGCAAATGTGAAGGAATCTTTACCAGGTTTGAAGTGAGATCTGAAATGCATTATTTTTTTTTTTTTGGCAGTTTTCTACCCAGTCTTTACTGTGGTGGTTTTGGTGTGATGAAGCTGTGTAATGAACATGGCCCTATAGGCAGAACCAGTCACACTAGCAAGCCAGTGTGCTGGCAACCTGTATCTCACTCCAGCCATGACCACCCAAACACACACCACTTGCCTGTGAGGTGGTATGGCAATACATTTAGATCCTTGTTAACATTATTTGGAATAGAAATGAGACTAGATGTTTAACTGAACGTTTCAGAGTGAGATGGAGGGGTTGGGGAATGAAGGAACATCATGAATTACACAATTCTGTATCTTTCTGAACAGAAGTGGAAAACTCAACTTGTTTTCCAAACTCTTGCAGCCTACTTGTCTTCACAGCTCGTTTCCTGGGTCCAACCAGCAGAAAAAGGGAATTGAAGAAATTATGTCTGTAGAAGACACTGTGTAGAGTATTGTATTTCACAGGGCACCCTAAGCTCATTTTTCCATGCTGATATCAAGCTATCTTCTCAGAACCAGCATCCTGCCATTTGAGCAATGTATAAAGTTAGGCCTTGCTCTGTACTGCGGGTGCATTTGTGACAGCTCAACTCCTGACTTTTTTTAAGCATTTGCTTAATCATGACATTTTTATTTGCTTCTAACCTTCCAGAGCTTTTATTCCTAAGCTGCAATTTCCAAGGCATGCGCTCTTCATAATACTTTCCATTAAATGAAGCATGTGTGCTGTGCAAGACAGCCTGGGCTTGATATGGCATTAGGGTGTAGGATTTTTAAACAAACATGAAAAATTGTGGAGAAAGCACTCAAGCTGGGCTGTAACAGAGATGTTAGCTCAACTGATGGACACAAACAGTGCTTGAAAATGAAGTTACTCAAATGCAGTGCAGGAAATCAGTGAAACGACGACAAAAGTTCCACTTCAATGGCTTCCCCTGTTCATTCATCATCAGGGGATCCTGCACAGAGCCAAACCTGCGTGTACCTCTGTACAGGAGGACTGAACGATGAATCTGTAGACTCATTGCACAAGCTGCTCAATTATTTTTATTTTACACAGAAATCACCCGACCCATTGAACTAATTCTCCAAAAGTTTTCTTTCCAAAAGGGGTTCAATGTTGCACATTACTGATCATCCAGACTGTCTTGGTTAATTTGTAAGTCCCCAGCTTTTAACAGTATCAGGCCAAAGTCTCACCAAGGCAGGCAAGTAACCTGTCTGAGGCATTGCAGTAGCTAAGCACATATTGTCAATGCTTCTGTTAAATGGCTAAGGACAAAGTTGTTTTCCTGGGCTGGTAGTTCTGATTGTTTAATAGCAAGCAGTGGATGTTCCATAGAACTCCTTTTTACATTATACTTTAGCAGTAAAGTCAGTTACACTTTTTAATTTTACTGTTTTTTTTGTCTCCTTTGTTAATTTTTTTTTTGTCTTGTCTTACAGACTATTACCCCTTTTCACCTTTAAGAGTCCTAACCTGTTCCCATGGAACCTATTCCCTATCTCTTAATGTTCTTTTCTGGGTGCTCCTTTTGCTACTGTGCTCTTGGAGACAGGATACTCTATGTGGTTCTGGTTACTAAATGTGGGTTCATATAATGGTTTAATGTTTGCTAAACCTGCCTCTATCCATCTAGTATTACTGATCCTCAAGCAGCAGTAAAAGGCAAATTGTTTCAGGGAATGAGTCACTTACTCCTACACATCACTCCTAGGAGGAAATGCCTGATTTAGAAAGCATCAGGCTGTAAAACAGCCAGGTTATCTTTCCCCCATATGATTACTTTTGAAAAGTTATCATGAAGCATTTTGAAAGTCCTTCTCTGCACTCAGACTTAACACTAATATGTTTGTTTTGTGGGCAAAGATGTTTTATCTGTATAGTTTAACTATATTTTATAAATGCCCTTTGCTTAACTGCAGAACTATCTGCTGCCTTGTATCAAAGAGCAGGTGAACTTGGGGGCAGTCTTTCCTGAAAGAAGAGAGGCTAGGCAGAGCAAGAATATGATGTGAAATAGAGGGAGAAGTTTTTTGTTTGTTTGTTTGTTTTAAATTAAATACACACACACATCCTCCTAAACACCACAGCTATAAGCACAATGACCAGGCTCACTTTGAGCATTACAAAGAGCAGCTACTATGCAGTGCTTGAAGTAATGTGTGGTGCTATGGAGTGAAAAAGGTGATTACCCTCAGAATCTCCTGTTTCTGCTTCCTGATGCATAGCAATGCAAATTTCTCCAGAAGGAAGAGATCCTAATCCAGTGATGAAAACTTTGTCCTGTAGTGGAGTGTGTTACACAGACAAACTTACCACCCTGAAGGTCTTCTTAACTGAGCAGAGCATGCAGCAATCAGATTAAGAACAAGCTGTGTGATAACTTCTGAGAGTGCCCAACATCTGCAGTATGTAATGCTCAGTGACCAAGGGCTTCCTATAGAACTATTTTTGGCCACTTCGAAGAGCTGAAGGTTTATACTGCCAGAGTGTGTCTCAGTGACCCTTTTCAGAAAGTAGGTGAGAGAAAAGCTAGAGGAGGAGCCAACTGCACATGCAGACTGAGCTGAATGTTTTAACTGAAGACAACTAATTGAAGCACTTCAGTTTGGGTTTTTTATTATTATTAAAAACAGATTGGCTTTGGCCAAAAAACTGACTTACTGTTCTGTTAACTCAAAGCACATTTATTTGTCACTGCTGCTCTTGGCTTTTATGTTCTCAGTAACACCAGTCTGTTTTCTGTCCCCCTTCAACTCAGACCATGACTTGCTTTATTGTGACCAGAAGCAAACAGCTTAACACAAGAAGCGTCATCTCAGCTGTACTATTTCAGTTTTTCCTTGCAGCACTCAAATCTGTTTTGCACTGCCACTACAAGCAAGTCTTTCAAAGATACTAAAAAAACAATTACTTCAGAGGATGAGCATGAGTTTCAGGGTAAGTAGCTTGAGCAGCTGTCTTTGGCCCACTCTTCTCACTGCAAACTCCACTGGGACAGTAGCTCCCCCAGGAAGCTCTGATAGGATTGCCTCTTTGATATTTTATGGTTGGACTTTATCTTAAAGGTCTTTTCCAACCTTGATGATTCTATGATTCTGATCACTTTTTTAGTTTGTTTAGAACTTTGCTTAGGCACATCCAATAAATACACTGTTTTGTACTGCTAACTGTACTGACTGCTCAGTCAGTTCCCAAGCCTCTCTCTGATCTGTGAAGGCACACTCATTCTCTTTCCACACAGTAGCTGCATTAAGTTCTTGTCTCAAGATGGTCACTGCTGTTAGCAGTCAGTCCAAATATAAAGTCTTCTGGCAGGGACTGCGGAGTCATCTGTGTTAACTGGTCGTCGTAGGGACCGAGAGTCCACAGCTTCTCCAATTCATAAACCTCTCGTGCCTCTGGCAGCATGAAATGCAGCACAATGTTACCTGTGCAGAACAGAAATTCACAATAAATTAATGTGAACTGTAAAGCACTACTACACCTTCAGCTGTGCAAAGAGTTCAAGTCTTCCACCCCTATTCTGGCTCAATATAACACGTCAGCTCATAGAGGTATCTTCTTAAATTGCTGCTTCCAGTTCGTAAACAGTGTTAGGAATTGGTCAGTCCTTCAAAAGACTCCAAGACTACAGTCACAAAAATGAGGCACAATACTTCACAATAAGACACTATCACAAGACTCCAGACCAAGTTATGACTTCTATGGGACAGAAGAAAATAAGTCAAAAGGAATTTTACTTCAAAGAGTCCTGCAAGGTGACAGATGGATTTTCAGCTTTCTTTTATTACCAACAACATCCAGCTATAGCCAAGTAATTTTTCTTAGTTGTGTTGTTCACACTTCTCAGGTGGTTTTTATAATGAAATAGGTCCAAACTTTGATAAGTTTTTCTTAGACAAAAGTGCATTAGATGAACACTGGAATAAACATTCTCTACTGTTGTTTGCACAGAATGGAAATATATATGTCCTTAAATTTCAATTGGTTTTCAGTTATTACAGTCAAGTATTATGACAGTTAAGTACCCAAGGCTTAATATCACTGGTTGCAGTGTTCCTCACTCATCTATCCTCTCTTTTAGGCCAAAACACCAAGTTGGAGGGTGATATTCTAGAATTAGCAGTGAAGGAGAAATGCTTTTTGAATGCAGTCTTTTATATTTGTGTAGAGTTTCAAACTTAAAGAATAAAGAATTACACTCAGTTTCTTAGGACTGATGTTTTACCCCATGTCATGGTATGATCTGGACAGTGAAAAAGTCCATTTAATAGTTCACTACTGAGGCAGTATACAGCAAGCACCCACTTAACCAAAGAGTGGTTATAGAAAACTGAGAAAATTGACAAAAGTATCTTTTTTTTCCCCACTACTGTTATCTTCAATTTATTAAAATGTGTTTTAGCCACTAAAGAGTAGTTACTGCTTTTTTTCTCAGTGCCAAAGATCTTTAATGAACAATCATTTAATATCTCAATGAGTTCAAGCAGCAACTGGAATTCCAAAACAGGAAAGTATTGCGAATTCTCCATAGCAACCAGGGTTCACGGTGAGATGCTTCTGTCAACAAGGAGCTCATGCAGAACTTTGTACTTGTCAGATTCACAAATATTTACCAAAATCAATGCACAGCCAGTCATCTGTCTCTTTTCCTTCAATCTGTGTATGAGGATCACTTTCTTCTTTGAGATGCTTGTACTAAAAAAAAAAAAAGGTAATGGCAAGAAATTAAGTACTTTGCATTTATTTAAAAGCACTCAAACTTAACAGAGAAGCTAGATTTTGCTGAGTTGCTTTAAAGCTTAAATGGGTTAGATTACTTCATGTTGGTTCTGGAGTCTGCACAAAAAAAAGAATATAGACTTGCAGTACTAGAAAATAAGTAGAGATTTCTCAGTGGGATTTAGTATCAAACGTGGAACCTAATGCTCTGAATTCCCATACAGTTATCCATGAATTTGGTAGGTTATCCATATTTTATTGAGATAAATACTGAATACTGTAACTGCTCAGTGTTACAGTAGTCTTTCAGTTACTGGGTCCCTAGAACTGCCACTACCACCAAGTTTTATTTCCTTTCCAATACCTTTCATTGGTGTTTTACACTGGCTAGTTAAGGATGCAGAAATGGAAGCTTATCCTCTTCTCAGAGGGGAGTGAGGTGAAAAAGTTTCACCCCCTGCCATGAGGAAGGCATTCAAGCAAGCCTCCTGTCTCTGGAGTGCACACACTCACCACTCACTGCAAGCTGGGGAAAAGTATGACAGGCACACAGGTTTCCAAGCTATGAACTGCTGTGGGAGAGGCGAGGGGGCAGCTCAAAACACACACTCAGCTAGGGAAAGTGGTAGTTCCCTTTGCAACACAGGGTGGCTTTTGTAAATGCTAGCTTAAGAGGCTTAGCTCTCCCCACCCAGTACATGAAGAACCCAAGCACCCACCAGAGATGAGGAAATTTGACAACTAGATGCTTAAGCATGGTCACTTTTGGATCTGCCCATAACCTACTTGTTTCTCTACAAGAAGCATCAATAGAAAGGGCTCTAACAGTCCTTTCTGCCATGGAGGCAAAACACAAAATAACATATACTAGCATAGCTGGCTAAGAAATGAGTCCCACTTCACTGGGAATGCAATTCTCACCAAATGCAACTGTTCCTGGTTGCTCCACACAACGCTGGCTGCCAGATAATGACCCTTTTGAAAACCAGCAGGAAAACTTTTAAAATCTACTAGTTCTGAGTTACTTTCAAAATGTAACTCAGAACCAGTTCTACCTTCCTATCTTTAAGATGGCTTGTGAGACATCTTCAAAAGCAGGTAATTGTCAAAGACTCTCTGAAAGTCGGCTTAAAATGCTAAAAGCCCTGTGTGCACTGCCATCAGCTATCATCAGCCTGCAAAGGCTGATCTCTGCTGCAAGTTTCCAAGCCCCGTCTTTAGAGGCTGTGTAAGGTGAACAGATTATAATAAAGCCAAGTGTTAGCTTCTTCCTCTAACATGAAACCAGATGGGAATGGGTAAGCAGTAGCTGGGACTTTGCCATTTACAAGCTCCTGGAAGCAAAGCAGGAAGATCTCATGCTACACCTGAGCACTTCTGTGTTTTATTGTGACTAAATCATGCACTGACATAAGCTTTTAGGTACGGTAATGGTAAAGCTTGCCAGGTGCCTGGCAGTACTCCTGAGCACCTACTCCGCTTATTTTTGCCTAGAAAACTTTCAGTGTGAGACAAGCTCAGCCACTCCCCTGTACTTGGTCAGGCTTCCCGGTTTTTCAGGAGGCCCAGGAGGGACACCTTCTCTCCCCAGAGGCTCTGCCTTTACAAAATCGCTGCTTTTACAGCCACCAGAGGGTGCAGCTATGAAGCACAGCCATGTTTTTGCAGGGTGGGCAGTACTCACTGATATCTCCTGGTCTGGAGGAGATGGAAAGCTGTTGATTTAAGTTGTTGCAAGTTATGCAAACAACAGAATATATATATATAAAGCACTTAGATTTAGTACATTCAAATCACATTAATGCAACTTCCAGCTTAAGGCAAAAATTTGGTTTGCAAAGATGCATCAGTTCCTTCAAAGAACAAAAGAAGCTCCCCTAACCTGTTCAGAAATACACTGAAAAGCAAATCCGTCTCTCCCTCTTTCCTCCCCACCTCAAGTCTCACAGCTGAAACCAATGGGACTGGAAGGAAGAATGTAAAACCAAGAGCCAAAGGAAAAATGGGGTCAGGAAGGGAAAGAAAGTGGGTGAAGAGAAAGCAAACTCCAGGCTGAGTCCAGATAGCTGACTGAGATGGGGACTGGTTATACTCCTCACACTGCGCTTTTTAAAGTCAGATGATTCTTTTCTGGCCATGAAGTTTCCCCTCCCCTGAGTCTGGTCCTCATCCCTAAGCTCTACTTGTATTTTTATTGACTTCTATTTCTATACTGAAAAGCTCACATTCCACCAAAGCCAAACAGCGCAGGATTTCTATGCAAGGATGGCTACCACTGCGCTTCCTTTCCTCCTCTTCATGCACAGCAGGGTGAATATTAAACAGCAGTTTGCTTTACTAAGCCCAGGAGGGGATCCTGTGCCCCTCAGGATGCCATCTTTTTCCCAGCCTTACAATATACCTGAGAATCTGGAACTTTTAGGGATTAGGGTTTGAGAACAGTCAAAGTAAGTATTATGAATGACTGGGAACAGCTATGATGCTTGCTGGACAAAGATAAAAGTGGACACAGGTCATCATCACCATTTCACATCACTCCTGTCCTAGCCACCAAACTCTGCTGATGTCATCACTGTTCTACATCCAGTGAGGTCTGTTTTTAAAACATATTACTACATTTTGTGTAGTGCTGCCAAAGCGAAAAAGCATAGTTAGTTGCTAGATGTATTCAGGACTAAGTGATATAATGTAATCAGGTTCATCTTACCTGGCACAACCTTATACATGCAAACCTGAGGAAACTCCTTTCACAACATCTAAAACCATTCCCCAAAACTCAGGGAGAGCAGCAAAAACTGTCTTACCATTTTCAGCATGTACTGTGCCATTGCATGGAGATGCCGTGTTGAAGATCCACTCACAATTATAAAATAATCACAGTATTTTATTTCTGGAGGTGGCTGGATGACACAGATGTCTTTAGCGTTTTCTTGCCTCAGCAGTGCTACAACAAAGTCAATGCTGAATTTTTGAAGAACAGTATCTGGGAGCAGATGGAAAAAATAACACAGTGGCAATTTATCTTTTTAATTCCAAAAATCAACCATTTAAGAAGCCATAAAATAGCAATTAACTGAATTATAGCCTAAGCTAGTCACTCATTATGAAGTTTGGTTTGATACTGATAATGCAACATGATCTGCAGATTTTTCAAAAACATCTTTAAAATCATCAAAGCTGAGAACTAAGCAGTGTTCTGGTAAAGAACACTTTATCACTACATATAAGTTACCTAAATGAAACTCTGATGTTTGCTAACTTACTTATTTATTGTTGTTAGCATCTACAAGTCAATGATATCATCAGACACTTGTCAACTAAAATGAATGAAACCTATGTAATTCAACAGACATTATTAAAACAACAGACAAAACTGAAAATATTTCAAAACAATGCTTTTCAACAGACCTGTGATAATACATGATGAAATTATTCTAGAGCCTTAAGCAGGTGAAATCAATGTATTGAAAATGGAGCTGACGTGATGCAGTGTGAAGATATTTTTTATCTGCACATAGAGTAAAGCCACTTTTTTCTTTTTCCCAAGCCTGTTCTGCTGCAGAAGATTATGATATTGTAGACCATGCTTTAGTCCTTCAACAGTTTAAGCAAGCCAGTTTAGAAACCATTAAATCTGTGCAACTGCCTTGTGTTCACACCAAGAAATCAGTTTATTTATAATTTGTCCTAATTAGGGAGATGCAATTTGTGTGCACACTTAAGACATAATTTGAATCTGTCAGCAATGCAAGTCTACCACTGTAAAGTGAACGTTAGTGCAGACGGAGCATCAGCACAGAGCCAAACTTCATATTTCCCAATATAAAGAAAAAACCAAACACAAGAACAACAGCTACATACAATTATATGCATGAACGGGGATTTGAAATTGGATCAGATTTCTGTAAATGGAAGCCTTTGAGCTCAGGGACTCATGCACTCTTTCAACTTTTTGCTGTGGTCACACATGCAGAAAATTAGCGATGGCCACAGCCCCTCCAGACGCAGTGGTTACAAAAGTTAAATATTTGCTTGGTAGCCACATGTGAAGTCTCCAGTGCCTCCTTAGAGAGCGAATGGCCTAAACAACCCCGGGCACGGTGTGCCACGCCGATCGGCACGGCCAGATCCAGGCTGGAGAAGGTTTGCAGAACAGCTGCCGGGACACACCAGCTCTGTGCACACGAGGCTGGTGTCCGTAACCAGCCACCCGTAACTGCTTCCCA